CCCCCTTTCTCCCCTTCGTTCCTTACTCACGTGTGAATTATTTCAATGAAATATTTTTGAGTTCTCTTTTTATTTCCACATGACTGTTGAATCTATTAAGTTGCTGTTTGTATATTATTCTTATTCTCTTATGATTTCTTAAGTTTCATCTTTATTATATTTTAGGACCCAGGGATCATCCTGATATTGTTGATTCATTTATGCAACTCCAAGCTCAGGTGTGTTTTTGGTTTCTTATTTCATTCACTTTGGGTTTCTCTCTTTTTCTAATTTCTTCCTGTTTTCTCTGTTCTTTTCTGTCTCTCTACCTCTTTCCTGTTCTTTGTTATCGGGCCCTCCGGGGTCCCATCACATAGACGAGGCAGTGGAATGAACTGTGAGGGAGATGTTTGAGAAAGAGACGTCGCTCTCTCCTCAAATGCTTTATTTCTAACAGTCGCCTCCCCGCACAAAGTACAGTTAGGGTCCTCAGTTTACCTGAAAACATATCAGCCTGATGTGCTCATGACAGAATACAAAACAGTAATAGCACAACAATAAGGATATTATTATAATCACCCCTTTTGCTGACTTAATTAACTGATTGGAGAGACACAGTGTTATAAATTGTGAATGACCTAAAAAGCACACTGCTCTGGTTAGGTGTTATTAAGCAGATGTTTCCTGATGTGTCATTATTCATCACAAATGACCATTTATTTATTTATTTATTTATTTATTTATAACACTACTCTGTAAACATGCTGTCTCATTTGGTGAGAGTACTTTGGATCCAACTAAGACTGTAACATGTCACAGAGGGCCATGTAATCCTTTTTTTAATTAGCATATTAATTAATAATGCCGCTTAACAGGCTGCTTATAAAAGAGATAACGTGTCTACTCGTATGTGGACATGTTAAGCCAACTATTGACTATTTAAAGCACTTTTACTTTCCCTTTCACTTCCGTAAAGTCAACATCAGGGCACATTTGTTACGTGAGAAAACATAATGACTCACCGCCTTAGATGAAATATAAGTTAATGCGCCACTTTTGGGAAGATGGTGTGAAGTATTGCGTTGGGGTCCCAGGTGACTGGTTAGTCTCGAGCACAGTCCTCCTCTGAAGTCATTCCTGCCCCGAGCCAATCAAAGCCCCAATGAATTAATATTCAACTAATATTAATCTGTTCAGACAAATTGGCTGATGGCTCTTCTGTTTTATATTTTTGTCTTCCGTCTTCATTCTTCTTCCTTTGTTTTCTATCTTTGGATAGATCTGACCTTCATCTCTCTCCCTCTCCCTCTCCCTCTCTCCTCTCCTCCATCCTGAATGAGTTCATTATTACAAGATGATTACTTCTCTTTATCTGCACATGTTAATTAATTACACACTTCTGTTGCATATTCAATCCAGTCAGCCAAAGAAAAAGTAAAGTTTCAAATTCAATTGATTAAAAAACAAAACAACTAAAACCATCATTGCCTTTAGTTTGACTTAAGTTTCCAATGATTTCAAAGTTTGATTTTTTGCAATTTGTTTGTTATACCTGCTGAGTTCTGCTTTGGAGGATCTCTGTATGAGTTTCATATAGTTGTTCCTAAACACACGGAGAGAGTACTATAGCCTGGTAGGCAGATCTGCTCTCAGTCCTGTGTTGCTGTCAGACCCGTCTACCAGGCTGAGCGGGTATTGTTGATAGCAGTATTTTGAAGGAGCTTATGCAGTGGAATGTGGTGAAGCAGTACCGTTTGGGTCGGGGATCACAAACATGCTCTTTTTAATGCCTTTATCTGCCTCTTAGGCCCTCAAACGGAAGCCCGATTTGTTCTTGTCCGAGAGTCTTGATGTGAAAGCGGTGTTCCACTGTGGTGAGTTTGCACATCGCTTACACAGACACACACCCCAACACACTGTTCTGCTACAGTTCCTGAGAAATGTGTCCTTCTCAGATCAAACTGTAACGTTTTGACACCGTCCTTCAGTATTTCATTTATGTTTCTGGCTCTTTTCCCCACTTCTAGGAGTTCTGTCACTCAAATTTCCTGAGGCACCGACAGTCAAGTCAACATGCTTGTTCTTTGTGAGCACACACACACACACACACACACACACACACACACACAC